GACTCCTTGGTCACCTACACAGAATAACTGCATTAGCAACTTTCTGTCAAAAGAAATGTGCGCAGACACAATGAACAGGCTAAGAATGATTTAGCTATCAGCAGAATCAGTGACACAATCGAAATAACTCAGCACAGCTTAACACCATCAAATCCTTTAATTTCAAAAAGAGCCAGAGAGAGTGAAGCAGCAGCAGGTCTGTCTCCAAATGATGTGACTCAAACTGAGATCATGTAGCAGCAACCAAACATTATTCCAAGCGATCACTCATTCACCTGTAAGCTTATCAACACTAACACCAAATGACATTAAGCTTTATTGTATGTTGGCCCAGTGGTTCTTAACGGGTGTGCCATGAGGTAAGCAAGACATTTTGAGGAAGTAGGTGTTCTTCAGGGAGATGAAACAGCATTTTAAAATGCCACAATGAAAAAAAAAAGAAAAATGTAGGGAGTCACATATATTGTCTATAACAATTTTTTTTGCTAGTTTTAATTAAATGTGAGCTGCAAGCCTACACTCTTGCCATGTTTTCATGTCTTGTGTGTGTGTGAATTGTCTTGTGTATTGACTTTCATGTATCTTTCATGTCAGATGTGATTTTGTATTTCATGAGCGTGAAATCGTCTCTTCACAGACTTCCTGTGGCTGCAATAAAGTGCTGAAGTCAGAAGATGGCCAGTGCATTTGTGAGCTGACAGCACATATAAATTCTGTTTCTTTGGTAATTTAAAGCAGATCAGAAATTTTATTGATTTTAAATAAAGTTTATGAATAAAAGTGTTTAAACTCACAGAAGTAGAACGTCAAAAAGACAGCAGTTGCCAGGAGAACACAGAAAACCACCACCGCCCCTATTTTTGTGGTGACCATTGACCCTCTGTTTACTTGTTCATGTTGAGGTTCAAAAACTTCGTCTGTTGAATATTTAGAGGAGACAGAGGGTGGAATAATTAAATAACACAAAATAGTGTTGCTGTGTACAGGTAAAAGGACTGTAATATTTATTAGTAATGATCTAGTATTTATGAGTTATAGCATTTAAAGGTTGGAGGACCACAGCTGCAAAGAAACACTGACATGCTAAATAAGGGATAACTACATGTTGAATACATCACAAGCCCCAATCGTTCCTGTTTTTATCATTTTCTAAGTTACTTTAAACTTACAATTAAATGTCTGTCTTGGCATTTTCTCCTATCAATAAAGCTTAACAAAGTCTGAATGCTTGTATTTTGCAAATGTGCAAAGTAAATATCATCATCTAGACTTGCAGCATGATGATAGATTTTAAGATATGTGCAGATGATCCTGTTTTTATTCCAGAATAAACATATTATGTTCAAATAGCTTTTATACAGAACAAAAGAAGAGTCGTCTTTACCTTCCCCCACATCGCCACTGTCTGAATGGCTCATCGTTTCAGGCTTAAAGATCCTGAGTTCAGCGTTAGTCCAGCTGTCTCTGAATAATAGAAGTACTTTAATAAAGATTTATGTTTTACTGAAGCTTTTGACAAAAGCAGAAAAACACAAGTACTTGGCGATATTTCTCCTGAAGCTATGTTTGCTCTTACCTCTCTTTAGGCTGTTCAAAAGAAACACTGTACCTAATTTTCATGTTTCACAACTTTTTCATGAATCATGATAACAGGGAGGAGACTTTCACCACAGTCTACTTCCTCATATTTGAATAACACTTTTCACAAAATCCATTTTTATACATTTCATGGAAACTACTGTTCTTTTGTAAATTAATAAAAATACCACAAGGACCACAGCCCTGCAGGCGCTGCAATCTTCTCCAGAGTTTGATTTGCAGGACTCACAACCTTCATCTCTTTTCCCCTTCCTCATTCCAGTTGTTCAGCACCAAGAGCTCAGGCAAAAAACTGACATCACCAGGAATTAGGCATAGAGAGCTACTAAACCCAAAATATAACCTCACAGTGGATAAGGAACAAAAAGAAAAAGTAGCCTTCAAAATAAAACAGGAAAAACTCAGAAGACAAAAACCATATAATCATTTTCCAGAGAGGACTCTCTTTTAACTTGTGGATTTTACATTTTAATCAACTATACATGCATGCATGGTTGATAACCCACTATCTTCTTCAGGTCATCTACTACCTTTACTGGTCTTGTGGTCTCAGCGAAAGCTCAAGAGAGACAGAGTATTCTGATCTCTTGTCTTTCCTCTTTCACTACCAGCTGTCAATCTCACTCACACTGCATCCTGTAGTCATGAAGTCACAACTGCTCTCCAAAGTTTTCTTTTTACCATTACATTGTTGTCTGCGTATGACAACAATGAACTTGAGTGACATCCCATTTTCATCTGAAAGGTGTTTTATTGAGTTCAGGTCAAGACTCTGTCAGTCTTCCACACCAAACTCACTTATAAATGTCTATATGGACCTTGCTTTGTGCACTGGCAGCAGTCATGTTGGAACAGGAAGGGCCAGCCACAAACTCTTCCCACAAAGAGCATTAAATTGTACAAAATATCTTGGTATGCTGAAGCGTTAAGAGTTCCTTTCACTAGAACTAAGGGCCCGGGCCCAGCTCCTGAAAAAACAATCCCATTAATGTACGAACTGTAGCTGCATCATCTGTCCTCTAGATGGAGCTTTAATAACTGAATCAAGACCATCTGCTGGATTAAAATAGGAGGCTTGAGGCAGAGATAAGGTGCAGACTAACCAGGCTTTTATTCACCAAGATTAACAGAAAGCAAAACATAAGAAAAACTAAAACAATACAGCACAGAGATGTAGCAGGACAGTTATCCAAAGTGTAAGTCACTTGTTTTCCAGCCATAGGACCTGAGCACCTTGCAGTCATTGTTTAAACCATGAACTTCTCTGTACACCAAAGTATTCAAGAGTAAAATGTAACGCAGAGAGAACAATGATCCCAGGCACAGCAGCAAATCTGCAAAACAATTCTGAAAAGGAAAATAGTCAACATGTTGCAATGGCCCAGTCAAACTCCACACTTCAGCTTGTGGTACTGTGGTGAGAGATTAATGAGCGGAGTGAGACTGATGGTCATACTGCTGCTTCTACTACTGCTAATATACTACTAATAATGAGGTTATTGCTTCTAAAGGTGATAATCTTTGCTGCTAATCTTCTAATCTGTTAATCTGGAACAGTATAGTTTGACATATTCAAGTCATCAGGACTTTTTTACTTCCAGTTTTGTTTTGTTATTTTCTGAATGAGTGTGAATCCCAGGCCCACATCACAGGTGTAGGTGTAAACAGAGGGAAGGTCTAATTGTAGGTGTCCTAGAATGGGTGAAAAGAGCAGATCAGTCTGGAGATCTTCAAAAGTAATCTTACACTCAGGTGTTGGCTTAAATTTGGCCGCATGTTTATGTTTTAGTGGATTCAACAGTTTGGAAAGTTGGGAGAAATTTGTGACAAGCTAGTGGCACAGGCAGTGTGGTAAATGTAGCCAAAATAAAGTAATTGAAATTTACTCAGTAGATATTCATCATGACAAAAGAGGATCTTTGTAAACCAGTTCGACCAGGAACTCGGACATTACACACAAATGGAAGATCTCTCGTCTTCTCTCGTCTTAGAAATAATATTAGTTTATTTTGAACTCAAAGATGAAATTCATGTCAATGTCGGTTTCCCTAATATTTAATCAATGAAAGTTAATTTGAGGCTTTACAGAGAAAAGATAAGTGAAGCTTTGCATCCCTTATCTAAAAGATACAACTGCAGTTAGCTATAAGATATCGGGAATTTGACTTTCAAAACTTTAAATGCTGACATTTTTTGCTACTAAAGCAATACTGCGTGATACATGAATAGTATAAGTGTCAAGTTTTACATTGATAGTAAACATTTATCTGCTCTGGGTTTCATGGTCTGGAAACATTTACCACAAATGTGTAATGGAAACATTTTGTTATCTGATCATGTGACATGAGAAAAAGTCAGTCCCTTCACTGCTGCTTTTAGTTTAGATAAAACTTTATTAATCCCTCGGGTGGGTTACTCCGGGAAATTCAGTTCAGTTCACTTTTCGCCTCATTATTAACACTTGACTGGTTCTATTCTTTCTTTAAATTTCACCAAGTATTCTTAAAACACTGAAGGTGGCCTCAAGTTTGCTGGTACTTAAATAAAACTTCCTAGTCTCACTGACAAAAAAAATAAAATAAAATTGTACAGAAAGCAAATTCATAGAATCAGTGGCTAATCCTCGTACATGTCTTAGGATTGTGGAGGAAGAGAAAATGCAAATTTCACAGTGAAAGGCCCAGGAAGGTTTGAGCCCAGAATGTTGTTGATGTGAGGCAACAGTGCTAAACACTGCACCCCCATGCCAACTAAGTTTTATGCAGATAAAAATATTTTACTCCAGGATAGATGTTTTTCTTCTATTCTGGGAAGTTTTGTTCAGACTGGTGGTTGTTTGATGATCAACACTCACGTCTCATTGGAGCTCTGTTTTTCTTCACCTTCGTGTTGATGAATTTAAAGGACTGAGAGTTCCTCGTACTTAAATAGTTAAATTTTCCTTAAATTCACATCAATGAAACATTCTGTCATTTTAGGATATAGATAAGTTGTTGGTCAATAAGCTGATATCTTTTAGACATCTGGTATATTTAGCTTAGATTTAGAGCAGGGATCGTTTACTGAGAAAAGTATGACAGTGTTCACTGAAACCACACAGTAAATCATCTTCGTATGAACTGTTCTTGTGTGGAAACGTGTGAGAGTAACACCAACAAGATGAAAGTATTTATTACTCAAAAATACAGTACAACTAATATATATTATATGAGTTAGTTATATTATATTTATAAAGCATAAAGCTTGGATAAATGGTAACCAAACTCTTCCATTAAACTGAAGTTTTTGTATTTTTTTTATAAATTTCTTAACGATAAAATGAGGCAAATTTTTCATTTCCACAGCAGCAACGCCGCCGTACACCACAACAATACTGTTAATAAAAACAAATCACCAAAATATGTTATTCAGATTTATTCAAGTATATTTTATTTTTTAATAAAAGCAAATCTAGAAGAGATATACAGTTTAGATATTAACTTTGTAAACAAATCGCAACTCCAACGTCTGTATTTTTACTGACACTCTTTTATAGACTGACTGAACTTTAGACAGTTGCACATTTACAAAGTTCAGTCACTCTTTGTTTCTCACAAATACTTCTATGATGCGTTTTGCAGGACAAAAGCTTAGCTCCACCTTTTGCCTCCAGCCTTAAACAGCTTTGCTCATCAGGATTTGCCCCTTTTGTCCCATTCTTTAAGCCTTGATCTTTGTTTTTCCAAAAGGTCAAACTAAGAATTAAAACAAAACAGAAGATGTTCAGTAAAAAATGGTGACTTTCATTCTGGAAATGAATACAAATATTTTCACAATAATTGAACCTTGTGTTCAGCGGTGATCCGTCCCTCCAAACCCATGTGTTGTTTTTAGCTAAGTATATCAGTTCGATCCAGAACTTGTCATCAGAGTTCTTGATTCCTTTCAGTTTACTCTCCAGGAATTCCTGAAAGAATTTGTATTCAAATTATTCTGAGATGTTTCTGTTATGAGATGATGAAACAGCAGGATGTGATAAAATACATGAGAACATGAATCTGCAGCAGTGTGTTATACCTGCTCCTCCTTGCTGTTTATCTTAACCAGATCTCCTTTTTTAGCTCCACATTCATCTCTGCTCTCGTTCCAGGAGGTTTTAGCGATGGAGAAATAATAGCACTTTCCTTTATGTTTCTCCCAGCCATCTTCACATTTATAACTCGGCTGATCTTTGAAGAGATTACAACAACAACTTCAGTCTGGCGGAAAATGTCATTGTTCATGTTTTCTCCTCTTTCTATCACTCCAACAGTCAATGTTTCTTTAAGCATCATCAGAGGATAAAAGTAATAAAAAGAAAATATAAAAATATAAATGTAAAAAATACTTGAAAATTTACTTTTTGCATTAGGACATTGTGAACATGTAGGCTGCACCGTGCTCCATGGTTTTGGTTCTATTTTGGGGAAAAAAGGGGATCGGACTGTCATCCGTCTGATTTAAACTCGTCTTCGTGTGGTTTGGGAGCAGCAGGAGGCTTCTTCTGTCCTCCGTTTATATTCTAACTTCCTCTTTCTGTCAGTCCATCAATGTTTATTTAATCATCATCAGAGGGTACAAATATGTCAAAGACAAAATTCAAAACTTACTTTTCATTTCAGGAGACTGTGGACATGTGGACTATACTGTATTGTATAGCATCTTAGCACAATTTTTTTTTTAAAATTAATCTCTTGTTCATCAAGAATGTCTCTGTTTTTCAAATACTGAACAGAAATTAACAAAAGTCTTATACTACAGCCAAAACAGGGTTTGGATATTCATGTAAGATCAGCTGTTGTGAACGTTGTAAGTGAGAGTTTAGATGTCCGAAAAAATCCACCTTCGATCCAGCATTGCAGCTTTGGAGTTTCACATGCTTACCTTTCTGTTTGTTTCTTCCCTCTCTGTGATGTCCTGGCTTGAATGCTGATTTAAAAAAGTGTAAGACAAAAAACAAAGAAATCAGTCAACAACAAACTAAAAGACATGTAGATTTTTGAATTCCTTAAATTAAAAAAAGTATTTTCTGACATGAGCCCTAAAAAGTTAAAACAAGTAAACACATCCACTTGAGAAATGTTAAACAGAAAGATTATTACTTTGCCCTCATTTTATTTTTTTTAGAACACTATCCTTGTAAATATTATGAAAGAAAATTAAAATTGTAGCGCTCACAGGTAACACACAGAGCAATGACAGCAGCAGCCAGGAGAGCAATGACAACCAGCAGGACCACTCTCTCTGAGAGCAGCTTCGAATGTCCGCTCAGCTCTGCTTGTTGAGGAAGCTCTGAAGAGTTAGCAAAGACAGAGATGTCACAGATATGAGAGATAAACATGTACAGATTGCTGTCACAACAACGTGAGTTTAGAATATACAAGGTGTGATCAAGAATTTCTGACTCAGAAGAGTCACAAATAAGATGCTTCTTACAGCTGGCAGTTTAGAAAATAAAACACAATAACCCAGGTAATTTTATGTAGCTGATATTAGATATAAAGACTGTAGTCCTTCATGTGGACTTTCATTAGAGCTGCAGTTTAATGGTTCTCTAAGTACCACCCAGGAAGACATAAAATAGCTTTAGCTGAGAACTCCTCAACCAAACAACCTCAAACACAACGCTTCACTTCCTGTGGTTTCCAGCATTGCTCCTACTTTAGCATCAGATTAAGAGTTATTGAGAAATGTTAAAAGAACACAAGAAAACCTCTGAGTAAATGTTTGATTTTATGTTTTTAATATTTTTATGATCCACTTTGTGATTTTGATCCTGAAAGCTCCTGTATATTTATATTTTACCTTTACCTTTTGCTTGAAGTGAGATGAAACTCCTTTAAAGATACTTTCTCAGCTTCCTTTTTTCTGGCCTTTTTCTGGCTTTATAAAATAGGCGAAGCGAAGAGTGACAGGAAAGTGGAGGGAGAGAGAGGGTAAGACATGTGGCAAGGCCTGTGATGAGCAGACGATTGGCAGCTCATTCCAGTGAGCTAAACCAGCACCCACTTAAATGAAAATTAGACATCAGTATATCTCGATGCTATATATATATATATATGTATGTATAATATGTATGTATATATATATATATATATATATATATATGTATATATGTATTATAATTATATATATATATATAGTATATATTTATATATATATGTATATTATATATATATATATATATATATATATATATATATATATAGAATATATATATATGAATATAATATAGATAAGATAAGATAAGATAAGATAAGATAAGATAAGATAGAACTTTATTAATCCCTCGGGTGGGTTCCTCTGAAATCGACTTCCAAAAAAAGCACAGCAACGACCGAAGTTACAGTTACAGAATTGTTATATATATACACACACACACACACATATATAAATACAGAGACAAATATAAATAAAATATACAAAGGGGATAAATAGAATAAATAGGAATAAAAAATAAAAATACAACTGAATTGCACATTTCTGTAAAAATGCTATATACAATAACATACAGCAAGATTTTTGGAGAGATTCAAATTAATTCATCCCCCCCCCCTTTTTTTTTTCATTGATTCACTCTCATTTTTTGTTTCCAAAGTCAGCGCTCTGTGTGACTTAAGAACATGTTTTTATTTTTAAGTAAAAAATACAAATAGATTTATCTGATGGCTGTTTGCTTCCTGATCGATACTGAGTGCTGTTCAAAGTTCATCCTCCTGTTAAATAAAACCTCGTCTGTACCTACCAGGCACCTCTGTCGTGGACGGCTGAGTCCTTGAAATATTGTCTTGAGAGAAAGTGGGATTAGCCACTGGAGAAGCTCTTTCTACAACACAAAACATGAAACCAAACTCTTAGTTAGTTAGAAATTCTTGTCTGTTGATAAATTTTATTTTAAAAATTCCCTACAAGGTTGTACTTAAAAAATAAAACAAGAAAACCACAAGAAACTACTATTTTGAGAGTTTTTTCCTGAGAAATCTTATTACTCATTAGAAAGATGAATATACAGACTCACCATTGGTCTCCTTCTTTGCTTTTATAAACCTCACATTAGAATAAAGCACTTCTTCTTCAGGCATTTTAATGCTTTGTGCTACCATCAGTGAGACTGAAAGAGAAGTTACACAACACGCAGACAACATGAAAAACAACTTCCTGTAAAACAGACGAAAGGGGAGGGCTTTACAAACCACAACTCCACAATATCTGACATTTTTAATCTCATGTCATTTTCAAAAGAAATGTTTCACATCCATTTTTTGTGTAGATAAAATAAATAAATAATAAATATATAAAAAACGAAGAGGTAATTGAGATGACCAGACCGAATAACTGTTCGTAAGCACAAAGAAGTTGTAAATAATTCTCTTCATCTGTAATGAATCAATCAGTGTGCAATGCTTTCCTTTAAAAGTTAAGATCTTAAAATGTCGAAATGTCTTTTGTTATGACCTAAGATAATCTGTTGCCTCGAAGGTGTGTGTGTGTTGGTGGAGCTGCTGATTGGTTTGTAAAGGTTCCTGTGACTGGATTGGATAATTGAATGGACCTGAGCATCTTAAACTCCAGCTGACAGCCACCTCTGTCCACTCCTTGTCGCGTCTACAAAGAACAAAGAACCAAGCAGTTGCAAGTAGCACCAAGTAGTTGTATGAGAAGCCTGAACAGAAGTCCATTAGGGAATTTTGTGAGCTAAGTTGTGTTTCTGATATGCTGTTAGTTAAGAGTGTTTTGTAGAGAAATGTAAATACTTATAAACTGCATATATTGAGCACTGCAGCAGTAGCAGGAGTGAGACGAGTGTTTGTGTTGAAATCCATTTTGGTTATTGGTTAGAAACATTGGTTCAATAATTGTTTTTTGTTTTCCTTTTATTGTCGCTTAGAGAACAGTAGGGATCACTGGATACTTTTATTTGTTGAGATGGCACTGCTAACCTCCAAAGCAGATAAACTGCTGCTTAGCATCTTCAGCTGTTCTGTGTTGCTAGCCTTTTCTGGGAGTGGCAGGAGTGAGGAGTTGTGCGTCATGTTATGTCGAGGGTACCCCTAGACCACTAGGCAAAGTAACACTTTCCTGTTCTAGGCAAACAGATAATTTGTTATTACATAAAATAAGCTTTAAAATCGTTTAATTCTTTTTATTTAGCAAGTGTAACTCGTGGCAAAACCTGCAACAGACAGCCCATCATGTCCATTTCAGGCTTTGCCTCTCCAAAGCATGAAAAGCACACACATGCAGAAGTTGCAGTAACAACAGATACAGATATTTTATTTCAAGGCAACATAAAAATAATCAGTGGAAAGTGATTAAACAGACATTATTAACACATTTACATATTAGCATCTACAGGACCTGGGAATGTACTTCATATGTTTTTTTTTTTATTCACTAGCAAATTCTTGGCTTTAAATATTCTCTCCCCCTGCTGGTAATGAAACTTCTGCATGCATATCCTTTCACATTTTGGGAAGGCAAAGCATTTTGAGCACACCCCACCTCCATTTTTGACCTATTTTTGATGGTTTGAAGTCAACAAGTCATTTATAGCAGCTTAAATTCCTGCCATAATTTTTTAAGTACCAGAAATCACTTTTAGCAAGCGATCACTTTTAGGCACTGGCACATGAAACAAGCATTCCTCAAGCTGCTGGGTAAGGTGCTCGTAGCTTTGCTCATTTGAGTCAGGGAAAAAAGTCCCTCGCATGAGTGCGGCTTGAACCGTGGTGTCCCAAGTGCACTGTCTCTCGATGAGGACGTGGTCCCCTGCGACCAACCCAAATGCATCAGTGACATCATCATCATCGTTGTTGTCATCGGCACCATTGGCAGTGTCGCCAACAACATCAGCAGCAGTAGGACCGAGGACTGTAGGACACAAAACGTGTGTCGGAAGGTGCAGCAAGTACATATGTAGGGGTTGTACTGTGCTGTACTGTCCCACGTGTGCAAGCTGGATCTAGGCAGGTAAGCATTGTAAGTTGGTAGGTAGGTGGATAGAGAGCAAGTGGTTTCAGGGACACAGAAGAACAAGATCAAGAACCTCATGGTGGGTCTGAATGACTCTTCTGTTTTGTTGCAGGTCAGACTGACCCATCTTAAAATTAAATAATCTAAATTAAGTACAAGAGCAAAACAAAGAGTCAAGGCCGCAATCAGTTGCAAAAGCACTAGAGTCTAAATGAATGTTGTCTCTGTTGTCATGAGTAAACGGACACTCGCCCTGCAACGCCTCTGTGTGTGTATCGGGTACTTGTCACCGTTTTATTTTCTGGAAGGCACCATGTGGTTGACTTGAGTACTGAACTCAGTCCTGTTGCGTCTCCAAAGACAACATCCCACCCCCAACAAAACTCACACGCAAACACCCAAATAGTGATAACACTTATACACCCACCCAAATCCATCAAGTGAATGCTGGTGTGATACACTTTTAATCTTGCAACCACGCAATTAAAACAGAGCTTTAAAGTCAACGTTTGGCATTACAGTCTTTGTTCTTCAACAAAGGCTGAACTCTCGTGAAACGCTTTCATGTTATTTCTTTAAGTAGTCTCCAGGACCAGTTCTCCAGGCTTCTTAAATGACATTCAAAGCGCTTCTTTATATGTTTGCTGTCATCTGTTACTTTAAATAAATTTGGTGATTTGCAGTACAAAATGCATAAATGGTCAAACTGACTGTAAAGTTTCATCCATTTATTTTACATTTTCAAAAGTTTTTATATTTTAACAGGTGAAAATATTTAATAATGAAATGTGTTAAAAGAATGTGAAACTATACAAGTCAAAGTTTTTGTGAACAAAGCGCCATCTGTAGATGACACTCTGCAATTGCATTAAAGTGACGTATGTACCGTGGAAAGTGCATACCAGTGGCAATTCTAGGTGGCTGTATCTGTGAACAGTAAACATTTTTCTTTTTAAAGAAAAGAATTCAAAGTGCCAAAAAAAGACGTGTTATCATATGTGTTGTGCAGTGATAGTGCAGCAGAAAATGTTAGCGGTAAAATCATGTGGATACAAGTACCAAATCAATTTTTACAACCATTCATCATACTCGTTTCATGAAATCCATTAGTCAGGATAAATTTAAAAAATGGCAACCATTTTCAAGATGGCCACCAAACGGTAAGAACATTTAGAGACAAATTCAACAAGACTGGGCTTTGTGAGTGTCTTCATCCTTAGTCTTGTAAAAGTTGAGTTTAGAAGTCTAAAAGTAATCAAAAGCTATATAAAGGTACTTTTGACTTTTTGTTATGTAGATGACCTTCCTGATGCAACCCTACCATGTATCCGGCTTTGGTATCACCACAAGGACGCCACCAGCTTGTGATATCCTGAAGATTCTTTTTTTGTCATTTCTTCACCTTCTTCACATGTTTTGCATGTAATAAGCGCATATTCTGGCCTGTGAGACTCATTCAGACACTCAGACACCCAATATCATTAAAATGAAGACACAAGATACTCATTTTACATTTTTGCTTGTTTGTTCACTCTTTCCCAACATGCTTGCAACCGTGTCCCCTGTCTCTGCTATGATACCCGTCTCTCTTTGTATGTAATTTGCTGTTCCCATTAAGTCCAATCCCTGCCTTTATGAATTCTCGGCAGAGCTGAAGATTTGGCTCCCACATAGCCACGGGCCAATAATAACCAACATATGAAATTATCTGGGAGGCTAGTATAACGTCCTCAGCCTAGGGGTAATTTGGGCATAACAAGAAATGTGACCAGGAAGAGAGGACGCTCTGCCTATTCCTAAATAAAAACCAGTTAAACTAATCAATTAATCAATCAATATTTATTTCTATAGCACATTTAAAAAGGACAGTGTCCATGAAAGTGCTTCATATAAGGTAGCAAAGCAGATTACAACAAAAGGCAACAATAACAGTTTAAAACGATTACAGTGACAGTTAAACAGCACAAATGCAGACCAGGTGGAAGTCTGAACTAATTTGCTTCAAAGGCAAGATGGAACAAGTAAGGTTTAAGTGTGATTTGAACGATTGAATGGATTCTGACATGCAGACATTTATAGGAAGATTATTCCAGAGTTTAGGTGCGGCAATTGCAAAAGCTCGGTCCCCTCTAGTCTTTCGTCGGGGCCTTTGTTACACTAAGAGCAGTTGGTTAGAGGATCTGAGCGCTCTCTTGGGGCTATACACGTCAAGAAGGTCTGTTGGGTAACTGGGTGCCAAGTTATTTAAAATTTTAAAAGTATACAAAAGGATTTTGTATAGGGAACTGAGGACACTTGTTTGTCTAATTTGAGAGAGCTGTCAAGGACAACGTCAAGATTTCTAACGGTATAAGAGAGATGGCTGGCATGGGACCCCAGTGTATCAGTTAAACCCTTTTTCAGTACAAGCTTCAATGCATGAGAACGCTTCATTGGGCCATCGCTAGGTCTCATCTTAGAACCAGAAACACAACTCGATTTATATTCAATAACACAATGTTTGGCTAAGATTTTCACACAGAAACACTAAAAGCAATGAGCAGAACCACAGGCTGTTTATTGGGTGGTGGAGCCTAGGACAGAGGGGCGAGGTGGCTGTCATCTGGTAGTTCACAGCTTGCTGTACAACCAATTATCTAATCCTGGAACAGGAATGAATTCAACCCAACCACTCAGCAAGCCTTTGACTCGATCAAGACACACAAGGAGGGAACAGAGAGAAAAACCCACAACCATCCTCTGGTCGGAGGAGGCGGACACATGAACACACATGACCAACATGATGTTAGGTCATGACACCGGATGCAGTTGTACTGCGGGCCACCGTACATTTGACAGCCCTGCTCTAGGTACAAAACAAACACCCATCCATTATATATTCTGCAAAAAAAGAGTGATAAGGATAGTAAATAAAGTAAAGTAAATAAAGCCACTTCAAAAGAACCATCAAATCCTTTTTTGAAAATTAAATTTGGTATTCTTAAGTTTAAGATTTGGTTGACCTCAGAACTGCACAAATAATGCTTAAGGCCGCAAAAACATCTTTGCCTCACAACTTTCAGAACTTGTGCCATTTAAAACCAAATCATCTTAATTGTCCTTATTACTGGCTGTTCATCAAGCCAGTAATAAGGACAAATATAAAATACCAGCATTACAGTCACAGGAGTTAGTTTGTGGAAGAACTCTATAGAGGAATTTTAAAAAAAAAAGTACATCAATGCATAACTTCATACCTTTAAAAAAAACAACAAAAAAACAATAAATTCCATGAATATAGTCATTGAGAAGTCTCACTGTATTCTAATGAAGCCCTGTCTTCATTTTTGTTGATTAGAGCGAGAGTAACCCAAGCTGAAAGTATTCATTAGGATATGTGTTACAGAAATACACTTTCATATTAAACATGTACAACCAGAACTCAGTTTTTAAACAGAGAATAAAGTGTTTTTTTTATCAGAAGGCACAGAGATTTAGAAGCGTGTTAATAACAGTGTGTATAGCTCAAAGTAAAAATGTAGTTTGCCTTTTTAGTTTGTAAACTTATATTGTTTTATGTGTGTATTTTGCATGTGAATAGACTAGGATCAAATGGTGTAAATTTCATCCTACTACTTTTTGAGCATCTAAATTGAGTGGTACACACAGATATTCATGACCACTCAATATCTTTTACAATGCATTCTCTTGTTAGTTCAGTTATTTTTATATGTTTGAAATAAAACAGTCAGTCAATCTGTTTTTACCCATTTTTCGCATATGCTCTTATTAGGAGCTTTGCAAAACTTATCATACCAAGTCTTCAGGGGTTCTTCTCCTTCTTCTTCCCCCAGCCTTACACAATGCTCTCCATCAGGATTTTCATGAGTCCAGTTGTCCGGCTCATGGTCAGCCCAAAAAGACAAACTATTGGATGAAGGCCGAAAAGAAATGATCACGTTAACTTCCAAACAGCATATTGTAAATGGAAAAAAAATGTTTATGATAATCAAACCTTGTGTTTAGTGGTGAGCCATCCAACCACAACCATCTGCCCTCTTCCACTGCATCTGTCAGGCCAATCCAGAACATGTCTTCAAAGTTCTCCATTTTTCCATTCAATCTGGTTCTTAGAAAAATCTGAAAAGGAGATGTTTGAGTGTTATTGATATAACACTGATCTGTTTTGAGAGAAAGATCTTCTAAAGCACATTTTAAAATTTAAAGATGTGAAACAAATGAATGATGAATGAAATGAAAAGTATGCGATTTATACCTGCTCACACCAGTTATCTATCTTAACCAGGTCGCCTCCTTTAGCCCTACATTCATCTCTGCTCTCTGTCCAGGATGATTTATTGGTGGAGAAGTAATAACACTTTCCTCCATGTTCATCCCAGCCTTCATCACATGCACATGGCCCGTCTTTGAAGAATTACAGAAAAGACTTTAGTCAAGTGGAAAATATTGTACAATTCCAACTTTACAGTCATTAGTGGATATCAATTAGAGAAACACAAAATCCATAACTTACTTATATTCACTTTAGGAATTTCAGGACACGTGAGATGCTTATTGCTGCATGATTTTACTTCTATAAAAAAATAATATATATATATCATCTGATGTGTCTTTGATTTAAGAAAAGCAGTTTGAATGGTCACAGAATATATTCTATTAAGTTGTGTTACTAGGAAAGATTTGTTTCCCGTTTTGTTTGTTTGTGTGCATTAATGCAAAACTCAGTTGAAGAGGCTCCTGTCAGTCTGCTACTGTCAGCAGTATAAAAAGGAATTCACACAGGAAGAGACGAGCAGCTATGCAGAAATGAGAAATCACAGGTTTGGTATGGGGCTAGAAGTTAAATATATCTCAACTTTGAAATGAGCAACTAAAGCAACAACCAATGGCAGCAAAATATACAACTGAAAGACATGATGATATGCACTTAAATGCTTCTCTTACTTTAGTCTCACACTGCCCTAACAATGCCAAATAAGAAGAAGCACTAATGCTAGTTCCTCAAACAATAGTTAGGTTAAATACTATTTTCAAAACAGCTGAATAACATTGAATCTTTTAGAGTTTCTCTCACCCGTGAGAGTTTTCCTCAAAGCTGCATTCTCTTCATTCAGTGTTTGGAGATTTTTTCTGCTAAGCCAGTTTTCAACAGCTGATTTCATAACAAGAGAAAAGTAGTTAGAGTAACACTTTTTGGTTTCACTAAAATGGGACAAAGATTTGTCCTTTCAGATCTTCTCATGACAAGATTTTAAAACAATGCCTTTGAAGTAAAAAAATGGAGGAAAACATCAAGGGAACATTTCTTTTTTAAAGTCAAACTTATGTATATATATACACCTGTGCACACAATAGCTGAAACTGTTCATGAAAAAAAGACTGTCCCTTTTGGTTTGTTTATCTCGGTTTCAGATGTGTGTGTTGTTCGATTCAGGACATACACAAAAAAGCCTTGCACCAGCAATGAAGGGCAGAAAGGTCGAGTGTCTACTGCAGCAACCAAGTCATGGGAAAAATGAAAAATGGTAAAGACAAAGCAGGCCCAGCGATACAGGATGTGCCAGTAGCAGCATCATTTCCATCTCCTGTTTGGGCCCGCTTTGGAGTTAGTGCTACCTAAGATGATGGCAGTAAGAAATTGATTAATTAAAATCCAAAAGTGTGCAAGCACTGTGCATGTTGCTTATGCCAGCTGCAACAAGTCCAATATCTATAGAGATGTCACCCCAATGTCTCAACTTTTAAACAGTCTCTCAGTGAAAATGTAAAACAAAAGGACTGGCAGGTTTCATAGATAAAGATATTAGAGATGGACCGATCCGATATTAAGTATCGGTATCGGTCCGATACTGACCTAAATTACTGGATCGGATATCGGAGAAAAATAAAAAATGTAATCCGATCCATTAAATATCACGAAAGCACCTCACATACGCCGTAACTCACCTCAGAACGTTAGCACGTCGGAGCAGTATGCATCACGTGATAGAGCGGCTGTGGCATGCGGGACCTGTCGGTGGTCTGGATAGCATTTGGAGCTTCGCTAGCAACCTGGCATTTCATCTCCGACAAAGTTATCCCCGAGAGAAGTAAAGCAAGTGTGTAAGTCCATCTCTGAATTTTGTAAAGCATTCCTGCGTTAAGCTTAACGAGCGACTGCCTCTCGCTCTCCGGCTGCTACTTCAATCGTGAAACTGCTAATGATCAGCTGATCGGCTTTTCTGTCGCGAGTCTCTCTTGTTTGTTTTTGGTCCACTTTGCGCCAGAAAGAGGAAACCAGCGGCTGAACAACAGCAGCACGTTTAAGCTTGATAAGCTGTTGTTAAATTTATTTAATATTACTTTCTACACCAGGATCTGTTTTCTACGTAGCTGACAGCTGGTAACTGTGCAGGGGCGGATCTAGCAAAGTTTAGCCAGGGGGGCCGATAGGGCATTAACTGGGAAAAGGGGCACAAAGACATACTTTTCTTTCTTATTCTCATTTAAAATGTCTAGCTTTTAATAAATAATTATCTGACACCCAAAGTTTTAATTTGATGTAAAATGAATAGAAGTCAATTACTGTATATAGTGACTATTAAGTCTAATATATATACCCTAGTAAGCTATAGTACTTTTTCCTTTGGGAAGGTACCATCTGTGCAGTCTGCAATTTTGTTGAAGAAAGATGTTGAATCTATTTAATATTTCTTGAAAAATAATTGATTTCTGTGCATTTTTTTTCACACTGCATCAAATTAAGTGTTGATTACGTCGATTAAGCATCATGAGGTGGCGCGTGAGGGGTGGTTCCCTATTTTTTATTTATTTATTTTTGTTGTTGCTGGGAGTTGGAACCCTATTAGTTAGGTTGCTTAATATTTACGCTAAGTACTCTTTAAAATACCAGAATAGGGAGGATGGTGTAGGTTTAAGTTTATTAGATTGATCAGTATTGCTGAACTATGAAATATTTTTTTTGCTATACAGGTATAACAGAATAGCTTTAGTGTAGTTGTTGTTTTAAACTTGAGTATGACTTATCAAAATGCAGCAAGATATTTAAAAAACAGTTTTGTTGATTAAAAACACTATATCGGATTCATATCGGTATCGGCAGATATCCAAATTTATGATATCGGTATCGGTATCGGACATAAAAAAGTGGTATCGTGCCATCTCTAAAAGATATCCAGGCTTATGTCATAGTAGAGGTGACAGAGTGAGACAGAGTCAGTCATTTTAGTCATTATGTTTTGAACATGCAGAAAGGTCTTGAGGACGGCAGGATCATTGCATTTTTAGCATCAAGAAAAAACTGTCTTTTAGTTAAAACGCGATGGTGGATTATTAGTTATGCACTTGGATAATTTAAGTAAACCCTTTAAAAAAATTTGACAAACAAATGAAAAGCATTTTTAAAGCATCAGTGTCTCCAGTTTTACTTTAACCTAACTTTAACATAAGAATGTGACAATGACGTCCATTCCAGGCTGCTTCATTCTTTCAGTTTTGCATGACTACATGGCACGTCCTCAGTATACGTCCTTGCATTTTAAACACTATAAATGGTATATGAATGGCTTCTTATATTGCACTTTTCTACTCTGAGCACTCAAAGCACTTTACACAACTTCCCTCATTCACTCATTCATGCAAGCACTTTTTTCTTTCTTCTATGTATTTGGCAAGCAGACTGGAAGGATCGAACTACCAACCTTACGATTAGCAGATGACCTGTATACATGTCCTAATATATATTACCCGATACCAATACATCTACCGAATTGAACCAAAAAAACCATTCCACCCCTAGTGCACACACAAAAAAACTTACAGAGACGGTAAATAACAATGACAGCTGCTGCCAGGAGAACACTGAAAACGGACAGGGCTATTCTCTCTGAGGTGACCTTTGACCCTTTGGTTGATTTTGCATGTTGAGCGTCAGGAGCTTCATCTGATGAATCACATAAAGAAGACAGAAAGTGGACACATAATAAATGGTTCTAACAAAGTCTACGTAGTGTAGTTAAGGGCAAATAGAGAAACATTTAACTGTTTACGAATGTTCAGCCTTTGTCTGGTAAAGGCTGGTTTGTCTGGTTCATCAAGCTGCCAACTCTGAGAACCACAGTTAGATTAGACAAGACACATGTGAAATGTGCCACATTTTCAGATCCTCATTTTAATTCTGACTTGAAGTCTACTTTTATATATCAAGTTAGTTTATATATCAGTGTGGGTTTATTCCAGTTAACTTCAAACTGCTGGTTCTTCTCCTTACTGTTGAATTAACATAATATTCTTACCCTCTGTGCAGCTCTGTGGACTGTTCATCTTGCAGTCTTCAAGGTTCTGACTTCAGAATTAGTCCAGCTGTCTCTAAATCACAAAATCTAAATAACAAAAACTAAAACTATTTGTGCTTTTCTCATTTTTGTGATTTTTTTTTAGAGCAGTTGCAAGTAGCACCAAGTAGTTGTATGAGAAGCCTGAACAGAAGTCCATTAGGGAATTTTGTGAGCTAAGTTGTGTTTCTGATATGCTGTTAGTTAAGAGTGTTTTGTAGAGAAATGTAAATACTTATAAACTGCATATATTGAGCACTGCAGCAGTAGCAGGAGTGAGACGAGTGTTTGTGTTGAAATCCATTTTGGTTATTGGTTAGAAACATTGGTTCAATAATTGTTTTTTGTTTTCCTTTTATTGTCGCTTAGAGAACAGTAGGGATCACTGGATACTTTTATTTGTTGAGATGGCACTGCTAACCTCCAAAGCAGATAAACTGCTGCTTAGCATCTTCAGCTGTTCTGTGTTGCTAGCCTTTTCTGGGAGTGGCAGGAGTGAGGAGTTGTGCGTCATGTTATGTCGAGGGTACCCCTAGACCACTAGGCAAAGTAACACTTTCCTGTTCTAGGCAAACAGATAATTTGTTATTACATAAAATAAGCTTTAAAATCGTTTAATTCTTTTTATTTAGCAAGTGTAACTCGTGGCAAAACCTGCAACAGACAGCCCATCATGTCCATTTCAGGCTTTGCCTCTCCAAAGCATGAAAAGCACACACATGCAGAAGTTGCAGTAACAACAGATACAGATATTTTATTTCAAGGCAACATAAAAATAATCAGTGGAAAGTGATTAAACAGACATTATTAACACATTTACATATTAGCATCTACAGGACCTGGGAATGTACTTCATATGTTTTTTTTTTTATTCACTAGCAAATTCTTGGCTTTAAATATTCTCTCCCCCTGCTGGTAATGAAACTTCTGCATGCATATCCTTTCACATTTTGGGAAGGCAAAGCATTTTGAGCACACCCCACCTCCATTTTTGACCTATTTTTGATGGTTTGAAGTCAACAAGTCATTTATAGCAGCTTAAATTCCTGCCATAATTTTTTAAGTACCAGAAATCACTTTTAGCAAGCGATCACTTTTAGGCACTGGCACATGAAACAAGCATTCCTCAAGCTGCTGGGTAAGGTGCTCGTAGCTTTGCTCATTTGAGTCAGGGAAAAAAGTCCCTCGCATGAGTGCGGCTTGAACCGTGGTGTCCCAAGTGCACTGTCTCTCGATGAGGACGTGGTCCCCTGCGACCAACCCAAATGCATCAGTGACATCATCATCATCGTTGTTGTCATCGGCACCATTGGCAGTGTCGCCAACAACATCAGCAGCAGTAGGACCGAGGACTGTAGGACACAAAACGTGTGTCGGAAGGTGCAGCAAGTACATATGTAGGGGTTGTACTGTGCTGTACTGTCCCACGTGTGCAAGCTGGATCTAGGCAGGTAAGCATTGTAAGTTGGTAGGTAGGTGGATAGAGAGCAAGTGGTTTCAGGGACACAGAAGAACAAGATCAAGAACCTCATGGTGGGTCTGAATGACTCTTCTGTTTTGTTGCAGGTCAGACTGACCCATCTTAAAATTAAATAATCTAAATTAAGTACAAGAGCAAAACAAAGAGTCAAGGCCGCAATCAGTTGCAAAAGCACTAGAGTCTAAATGAATGTTGTCTCTGTTGTCATGAGTAAACGGACACTCGCCCTGCAACGCCTCTGTGTGTGTATCGGGTACTTGTCACCGTTTTATTTTCTGGAAGGCACCATGTGGTTGACTTGAGTACTGAACTCAGTCCTGTTGCGTCTCCAAAGACAACATCCCACCCCCAACAAAACTCACACGCAAACACCCAAATAGTGATAACACTTATACACCCACCCAAATCCATCAAGTGAATGCTGGTGTGATACACTTTTAATCTTGCAACCACGCAATTAAAACAGAGCTTTAAAGTCAACGTTTGGCATTACAGTCTTTGTTCTTCAACAAAGGCTGAACTCTCGTGAAACGCTTTCATGTTATTTCTTTAAGTAGTCTCCAGGACCAGTTCTCCAGGCTTCTTAAATGACATTCAAAGCGCTTCTTTATATGTTTGCTGTCATCTGTTACTTTAAATAAATTTGGTGATTTGCAGTACAAAATGCATAAATGGTCAAACTGACTGTAAAGTTTCATCCATTTATTTTACATTTTCAAAAGTTTTTATATTTTAACAGGTGAAAATATTTAATAATGAAATGTGTTAAAAGAATGTGAAACTATACAAGTCAAAGTTTTTGTGAACAAAGCGCCATCTGTAGATGACACTCTGCAATTGCATTAAAGTGACGTATGTACCGTGGAAAGTGCATACCAGTGGCAATTCTAGGTGGCTGTATCTGTGAACAGTAAACATTTTTCTTTTTAAAGAAAAGAATTCAAAGTGCCAAAAAAAGACGTGTTATCATATGTGTTGTGCAGTGATAGTGCAGCAGAAAATGTTAGCGGTAAAATCATGTGGATACAAGTACCAAATCAATTTTTACAACCATTCATCATACTCGTTTCATGAAATCCATTAGTCAGGATAAATTTAAAAAATGGCAACCATTTTCAAGATGGCCACCAAACGGTAAGAACATTTAGAGACAAATTCAACAAGACTGGGCTTTGTGAGTGTCTTCATCCTTAGTCTTGTAAAAGTTGAGTTTAGAAGTCTAAAAGTAATCAAAAGCTATATAAAGGTACTTTTGACTTTTTGTTATGTAGATGACCTTCCTGATGCAACCCTACCATGTATCCGGCTTTGGTATCACCACAAGGACGCCACCAGCTTGTGATATCCTGAAGATTCTTTTTTTGTCATTTCTTCACCTTCTTCACATGTTTTGCATGTAATAAGCGCATATTCTGGCCTGTGAGACTCATTCAGACACTCAGACACCCAATATCATTAAAATGAAGACACAAGATACTCATTTTACATTTTTGCTTGTTTGTTCACTCTTTCCCAACATGCTTGCAACCGTGTCCCCTGTCTCTGCTATGATACCCGTCTCTCTTTGTATGTAATTTGCTGTTCCCATTAAGTCCAATCCCTGCCTTTATGAATTCTCGGCAGAGCTGAAGATTTGGCTCCCACATAGCCACGGGCCAATAATAACCAACATATGAAATTATCTGGGAGGCTAGTATAACGTCCTCAGCCTAGGGGTAATTTGGGCATAACAAGAAATGTGACCAGGAAGAGAGGACGCTCTGCCTATTCCTAAATAAAAACCAGTTAAACTAATCAATTAATCAATCAATATTTATTTCTATAGCACATTTAAAAAGGACAGTGTCCATGAAAGTGCTTCATATAAGGTAGCAAAGCAGATTACAACAAAAGGCAACAATAACAGTTTAAAACGATTACAGTGACAGTTAAACAGCACAAATGCAGACCAGGTGGAAGTCTGAACTAATTTGCTTCAAAAGCTAGATGGAACAGCTGAGTTTTTAAGCATGATTTAACGATTGAATGGAATCTGACATGCGGACATCGATAGGAAGATTATTCCAGAGTTTGGGTGCGGCAATTGCAAAAGCTCGGTCCCCTCTAGTCTTTCGTCGGGGCCTTTGTTACACTAAGAGCAGTTGGTTAGAGGATCTGAGCGCTCTCTTGGGGCTATACACGTCAAGAAGGTCTGTTGGGTAACTGGGTGCCAAGTTATTTAAAATTTTAAAAGTATACAAAAGGATTTTGTATAGGGAACTGAGGACACTTGTTTGTCTAATTTGAGAGAGCTGTCAAGGACAACGTCAAGATTTCTAACGGTATAAGAGAGATGGCTGGCATGGGACCCCAGTGTATCAGTTAAACCCTTTTTCAGTACAAGCTTCAATGCATGAGAACGCTTCATTGGGCCATCGCTAGGTCTCATCTTAGAACCAGAAACACAACTCGATTTATATTCAATAACACAATGTTTGGCTAAGATTTTCACACAGAAACACTAAAAGCAATGAGCAGAACCACAGGCTGTTTATTGGGTGGTGGAGCCTAGGACAGAGGGGCGAGGTGGCTGTCATCTGGTAGTTCACAGCTTGCTGTACAACCAATTATCTAATCCTGGAACAGGAATGAATTCAACCCAACCACTCAGCAAGCCTTTGACTCGATCAAGACACACAAGGAGGGAACAGAGAGAAAAACCCACAACCATCCTCTGGTCGGAGGAGGCGGACACATGAACACACATGACCAACATGATGTTAGGTCATGACACCGGATGCAGTTGTACTGCGGGCCACCGTACATTTGACAGCCCTGCTCTAGGTACAAAACAAACACCCATCCATTATATATTCTGCAAAAAAAGAGTGATAAGGATAGTAAATAAAGTAAAGTAAATAAAGCCACTTCAAAAGAACCATCAAATCCTTTTTTGAAAATTAAATTTGGTATTCTTAAGTTTAAGATTTGGTTGACCTCAGAACTGCACAAATAATGCTTAAGGCCGCAAAAACATCTTTGCCTCACAACTTTCAGAACTTGTGCCATTTAAAACCAAATCATCTTAATTGTCCTTATTACTGGCTGTTCATCAAGCCAGTAATAAGGACAAATATAAAATACCAGCATTACAGTCACAGGAGTTAGTTTGTGGAAGAACTCTATAGAGGAATTTTAAAAAAAAAAGTACATCAATGCATAACTTCATACATTTAAAAAAAACAACAAAAAAACAATAAATTCCATGAATATAGTCATTGAGAAGTCTCACTGTATTCTAATGAAGCCCTGTCTTCATTTTTGTTGATTAGAGCGAGAGTAACCCAAGCTGAAAGTATTCATTAGGATATGTGTTACAGAAATACACTTTCATATTAAACATGTACAACCAGAACTCAGTTTTTAAACAGAGAATAAAGTGTTTTTTTTATCAGAAGGCACAGAGATTTAGAAGCGTGTTAATAACAGTGTGTATAGCTCAAAGTAAAAATGTAGTTTGCCTTTTTAGTTTGTAAACTTATATTGTTTTATGTGTGTATTTTGCATGTGAATAGACTAGGATCAAATGGTGTAAATTTCATCCTACTACTTTTTGAGCATCTAAATTGAGTGGTACACACAGATATTCATGACCACTCAATATCTTTTACAATGCATTCTCTTGTTAGTTCAGTTATTTTTATATGTTTGAAATAAAACAGTCAGTCAATCTGTTTTTACCCATTTTTCGCATATGCTCTTATTAGGAGCTTTGCAAAACTTATCATACCAAGTCTTCAGGGGTTCTTCTCCTTCTTCTTCCCCCAGCCTTACACAATGCTCTCCATCAGGATTTTCATGAGTCCAGTTGTCCGGCTCATGGTCAGCCCAAAAAGACAAACTATTGGATGAAGGCCGAAAAGAAATGATCACGTTAACTTCCAAACAGCATATTGTAAATGGAAAAAAAATGTTTATGATAATCAAACCTTGTGTTTAGTGGTGAGCCATCCAACCACAACCATCTGCCCTCTTCCACTGCATCTGTCAGGCCAATCCAGAACATGTCTTCAAAGTTCTCCATTTTTCCATTCAATCTGGTTCTTAGAAAAATCTGAAAAGGAGATGTTTGAGTGTTATTGATATAACACTGATCTGTTTTGAGAGAAAGATCTTCTAAAGCACATTTTAAAATTTAAAGATGTGAAACAAATGAATGATGAATGAAATGAAAAGTATGCGATTTATACCTGCTCACACCAGTTATCTATCTTAACCAGGTCGCCTCCTTTAGCCCTACATTCATCTCTGCTCTCTGTCCAGGATGATTTATTGGTGGAGAAGTAATAACACTTTCCTCCATGTTCATCCCAGCCTTCATCACATGCACATGGCCCGTCTTTGAAGAATTACAGAAAAGACTTTAGTCAAGTGGAAAATATTGTACAATTCCAACTTTACAGTCATTAGTGGATATCAATTAGAGAAACACAAAATCCATAACTTACTTATATTCACTTTAGGAATTTCAGGACACGTGAGATGCTTATTGCTGCATGATTTTACTTCTATAAAAAAATAATATATATATATCATCTGATGTGTCTTTGATTTAAGAAAAGCAGTTTGAATGGTCACAGAATATATTCTATTAAGTTGTGTTACTAGGAAAGATTTGTTTCCCGTTTTGTTTGTTTGTGTGCATTAATGCAAAACTCAGTTGAAGAGGCTCCTGTCAGTCTGCTACTGTCAGCAGTATAAAGAGGAATTCACACAGGAAGAGACGAGCAGCTATGCAGAAATGAGAAATCACAGGTTTGGTATGGGGCTAGAAGTTAAATATATCTCAACTTTGAAATGAGCAACTAAAGCAACAACCAATGGCAGCAAAATATACAACTGAAAGACATGATGATATGCACTTAAATGCTTCTCTTACTTTAGTCTCACACTGCCCTAACAATGTCAAATAAGAAGAAGCACTAATGCTAGTTCCTCAAACAATAGTTAGGTTAAATACTATTTTCAAAACAGCTGAATAACATTGAATCTTTTAGAGTTTCTCTCACCCGTGAGAGTTTTCCTCAAAGCTGCATTCTCTTCATTCAGTGTTTGGAGATTTTTTCTGCTAAGCCAGTTTTTCAACAGCTGATTTCATAACAAGAGAAAAGTAGTTAGAGTAACACTTTTTGGTTTCACTAAAATGGGACAAAGATTTGTCCTTTCAGATCTTCTCATGACAAGATTTTAAAACAATGCCTTTGAAGTAAAAAAATGGAGGAAAACATCAAGGGAACATTTCTTTTTTAAAGTCAAACTTATATATATATACACCTGTGCACACAATAGCTGAAACTGTTCATGAAAAAAAGACTGTCCCTTTTGGTTTGTTTATCTCGGTTTCAGATGTGTGTGTTGTTCGATTCAGGACATACACAAAAAAGCCTTGCACCAGCAATGAAGGGCAGAAAGGTCGAGTGTCTACTGCAGCAACCAAGTCATGGGAAAAATGAAAAATGGTAAAGACAAAGCAGGCCCAGCGATACAGGATGTGCCAGTAGCAGCATCATTTCCATCTCCTGTTTGGGCCCGCTTTGGAGTTAGTGCTACCTAAGATGATGGCAGTAAGAAATTGATTAATTAAAATCCAAAAGTGTGCAAGCACTGTGCATGTTGCTTATGCCAGCTGCAACAAGTCCAATATCTATAGAGATGTCACCCCAATGTCTCAACTTTTAAACAGTCTCTCAGTGAAAATGTAAAACAAAAGGACTGGCAGGTTTCATAGATAAAGATATTAGAGATGGACCGATCCGATATTACGTATCGGTATCGGTCCGATACTGACCTAAATTACTGGATCGGATATCGGAGAAAAATAAAAAATGTAATCCGATCCATTAAATATCACGAAAGCACCTCACAAAACTAACGCCGTAACTCACCTCAGAACGTTAGCACGTCGGAGCAGTATGCATCACGTGATAGAGCGGCTGTGGCATGCGGGACCTGTCGGTGGTCTGGATAGCATGTTGGAGCTTCGCTAGCAACCCTGGCATTTCATCTCCGACAAAGTTATCCCCGAGAGAAGTAAAGCAAGTGTGTAAGTCCATCTCTGAATTTTGTAAAGCATTCCTGCGTTAAGCTTAACGAGCGACTGCCTCTCGCTCTCCGGCTGCTACTTCAATCGTGAAACTGCTAATGATCAGCTGATCGGCTTTTCTGTCGCGAGTCTCTCTTGTTTGTTTTTGGTCCACTTTGCGCCAGAAAGAGGAAACCAGCGGCTGAACAACAGCAGCACGTTTAAGCTTGATAAGCTGTTGTTAGAATTTATTTAATATTACTTTCTACACCAGGATCTTTTCTACGTAGCTGACGAGCTGGTAACTGTGCAGGGGCGGATCTAGCAAAGTTTAGCCAGGGGGGCCGATAGGGCATTAACTGGGAAAAGGGGGCACAAAGACATACTTTTCTTTCTTATTCTCATTTAAAATGTCTAGCTTTTAATAAATAATTATCTGACACCCAAAGTTTTAATTTGATGTAAAATGAATAGAAGTCAATTACTGTATATAGTGACTATTAAGTCTAATATATATACCCTAGTAAGCTATAGTACTTTTTCCTTTGGGAAGGTACCATCTGTGCAGTCTGCAATTTTGTTGAAGAAAGATGTTGAATCTATTTAATATTTCTTGAAAAATAATTGATTTCTGTGCATTTTTTTTCACACTGCATCAAATTAAGTGTTGATTACGTCGATTAAGCATCATGAGGTGGCGCGTGAGGGGTGGTTCCCTATTTTTTATTTATTTATTTTTGTTGTTGCTGGGAGTTGGAACCCTATTAGTTAGGTTGCTTAATATTTACGCTAAGTACTCTTTAAAATACCAGAATAGGGAGGATGGTGTAGGTTAAGTTTATTAGATTGATCAGTATTGCTGAACTATGAAATATTTTTTTTGCTATACAGGTATAACAGAATAGCTTTAGTGTAGTTGTTGTTTTAAACTTGAGTATGAACTTAGCAAAATGCAGCAAGATATTTAAAAAACAGTTTTGTTGATTAAAAACACTATATCGGATTCATATCGGTATCGGCAGATATCCAAATTTATGATATCGGTATCGGTATCGGACATAAAAAAGTGGTATCGTGCCATCTCTAAAAGATATCCAGGCTTATGTCATAGTAGAGGTGACAGAGTGAGACAGAGTCAGTCATTTTAGTCATTATGTTTTGAACATGCAGAAAGGTCTTGAGGACGGCAGGATCATTGCATTTTTAGCATCAAGAAAAAACTGTCTTTTAGTTAAAACGCGATGGTGGATTATTAGTTATGCACTTGGATAATTTAAGTAAACCCTTTAAAAAAATTTGACAAACAAATGAAAAGCATTTTTAAAGCATCAGTGTCTCCAGTTTTACTTTAACCTAACTTTAACATAAGAATGTGACAATGACGTCCATTCCAGGCTGCTTCATTCTTTCAGTTTTGCATGACTACATGGCACGTCCTCAGTATACGTCCTTGCATTTTAAACACTATAAATGGTATATGAATGGCTTCTTATATTGCACTTTTCTACTCTGAGCACTCAAAGCACTTTACACAACTTCCCTCATTCACTCATTCATGCAAGCACTTTTTTCTTTCTTCTATGTATTTGGCAAGCAGACTGGAAGGATCGAACTACCAACCTTACGATTAGCAGATGACCTGTATACATGTCCTAATATATATTACCCGATACCAATACATTTACCGAATTGAACCAAAAAAAACATTCACCTAGTGCACACACAAAAAAACTTACAGAGACGGTAAATAACAATGACAGCTGCTGCCAGGAGAACACTGAAAACGGACAGGGCTATTCTCTCTGAGGTGACCTTTGACGCTTTGGTTGATTTTGCATGTTGAGCGTCAGGAGCTTCATCTGATGAATCACATAAAGAAGACAGAAAGTGGACACATAATAAATGGTTCTAACAAAGTCTACGTAGTGTAGTTAAGGGCAAATAGAGAAACATTTAACTCTTTACGAATGTTCAGCCTTTGTCTGGTAAAGGCTGGTTTGTCTGGTTCATCAAGCTGTCAACTCTGAGAACCACAGTTAGATTAGACAAGACACATGTGAAATGTGCCACATTTTCAGATCCTCATTCTAATTCTCACTTGAAGTCTACTTTTATATATCAAGTTAGTTTATATATCAGTGTGGGTTTATTCTAGTTAACTTCAAACTGCTGGTTCTACCCTTCTCCTTTCTGTTGAATTAACATAATATTCTTACCCTCG